AAAAAAAAAAATTAAATTAGGGTCACCTGGGTGGCTCAGATGGTTAAGCGTCTGCCTTCGGCTCAGGTCATGATCTCAGGGTCCTGGGATCGAGCCCCGCACTGGGCTCCCTGCTTGGCGGGAAGCCTGCTTCTCCCTCTCCCTCTACTGTTCCCCCTGCTTGTGCTCTCTTGCTCTCTCTGTCAAATAAATAAATAAAATCTTTAAAAAAAAATTAAATTAAAAAGGCAACCTACTGAATGAAAGGAGATATTTACAAATGATATGCCTGATAAGGGGTTGAAATCCAAAATAAATAAAGAACAATACCAAAAAACCCACAAATAATTCAATTAAAAATGGGCAGAAGACCTGAATAGACATTTTTCCAAATAAAACATACAGATAGCCAACAGACACATGAAAAGATGTTCAACATCACTCATCATCAAGGAAATGCAAATCAAAACCACAGTAAAATATCACCTTACACCTGTCAGAATGGCTCAAATGAAAAATAAGAAATAATGTGGCAGGAATATGGACAAAAAGGAACTCTCATGCACTGTTTGTGGGAAAGTAAATTGGTATATCCACTGTTGAAAACAATATGGAGGTTCCTCAAAAAATTAAAAATAGAACTACCATATGATCCAATAATTTCACTACTGGGTATTTACACAAAGAAAAAGAAAAAACTAATTTAAAAAAATATGCACCACTATGTTTACTGCAGCATTATTTACAATGGCCAAGATACGGAAGCAACCCAAGTGTCCACTGACAGATGAATGAATAAAGATGTGGTACACACACACACACACACACACACACACACACACACACAGTGGAATATTACACAGCCATAAAAATCACATCCATTTGTGACAACATGGATGGTACTCTAAGTGAAATAAGTTAGACTGAGAAAGACAAATACCATATAAATTTCACTCATAACTGGAATCTAAAAAACAAAAAGAATCATAAATAAAAGAGAACAAAATGATGGTTGCTAGAGGGGAGGGGGATGGGAGATGGGCAAAATGGGTGATGGGGAATAACAGAGGCTACTGGTTATGGAATGAATAGGTTATGGAAATAAAAGGTACAGCATAGGGAATATAGTCAGTGATGTTGTAATAGTGTTGTATGGTGACAGATGGTAGCTACACTTGTGCTGAGCACAGCATAACATATACAGATGTTCAGTCACTATGCCGTATACCTGAAACTAATGTAACAGTGTGTCAACATACTCAAAAAAATTTTTCAAAAAAGAATATACTGCCATCAATTAAACAGCAAGTTTAAGGGGGGAAAACCCTGTTAGAAATTTTAGAAATTAAAGATACAGTATTTGAAATGAAAATGTTATGGAAGGCAGATTAGTGACTGTCTGTGACTAAAGAACACATTTAAAAGAAGGTAGTACTTGGGGGCGCCTGGGTGGCTCAGTTGGTTAAGCGTCTGCCTTCGGCTCAGGTCATGATCCCAGGGTCCTGGGATTGAGCCCCGCATCGGGCTCCCTACTCAGCGGGAAGCCTGGTTCTCCCTCTTCCCCACTTGTGTTCCCTCTCTCACTGTGTCTCTCTCTGTCAAATAAATGAATAAAATCTTAAAAAAAAAAAAAAAAGAAGGTAGTACTTGAATCTTTCATAGCAGCATAATTCATAGTAGGCAACAGTGGAAACAACCTAAGTGTTCATCAAAAATAAACAGATTAACAAAATATGCAATATTGTTCAGCCATAAAAATAAATTAAGTACTGTTACATGCTACAACATAGATGAATCTGGAAAACATTATGCTTAATGCAAGAAGCCAGACAAGGGGCACCTGGGTGGCTCAGTTGTTTAAGCGTCTGCCTTTGGCTCAGGTCATGATCCCAGGGTCCTGGGACTGAGCCCTGCATCAGGCTCCCTGCTCAGAGAGGAGCCTGCTTCTCCTTCTCCCTCTGCCATTCCCCCCACTTG